ATCCCATAACTTTGGGAGGCTGAGGTGAGTGGATTGCCTGAGCCTGTGGGTTCGAGACCCGCCTGGGCAGCGAAACCTCATCTCTACAATAAATCAAAAAATCAGCCAGGCGTGGTAGTGCATGCCTGTAATTCCGGCTACTCGAAAGGCTGAGGCAGAAGGATCACCGGAGCCCAGCAGGTTGAGGCTGCGGTGGCCAGGAGCGGCCACTGCACTCCAGTCTGGGCGACAGAATGAGACTCCAACTCAAAAAAAAAAAACTCCCTAGCAGAGGACACTGTGGAGGCTCTGCCTCCCGCATTCACAGCTGATGCTCCTCTCTGAGTGCTCCTCAGTCATGCATCCACGAGAATCAGTTCACTCTACACTGGGGTCCAGAGGAAGGGTCCCTCTCTTTACACAGCCCACCACCTAACCCAGTACGTGGCACAGAGGAGGCACATAAGAAGGATTTGTTCAATAGATGGATGGATGCTGAATTAATATGATCTTTAGAGCTTGCAGGTGTGCAAAGTCACTATTGTTTAAAACATTCCATGGACTTCATATATATTGTTTAGAGGTTTTCGGAGATACTATTTTTTTTCCTTCTTGCTTAATTTCTCCAAAATCAAATCTTACATGGAGAAGATGTACTTCTGAAGGTACTAGGTATGCAGAATATCTACTTTTATACAACCTTAGTTCTTCTTTAATCTCCTCCTATTTTTTGACTTCTCAGTAGACCAAATGGATGAAGGGACAAAAAAAAAAAAAAAAAATACCATGACACAACCAATACGAATGCTCCTTTGCTGGAGAGTTGGGATACAGCAATCTGGCTACTGCCCAATCCCAGAGATGAAAATACCATATCCCACTCGACTCTTTCACTGATCATTTGTATTTCAAGATTTTTTTAAACACGGTTATGTTCTAGAGCTTCCTTGTTTAGACATGTTCTATTTCTAACACTTCTTAAATCAAATTCAACTACTGTAATCTTCAAAGAAGGTACCAACAAATGCTAGTCAAAACAAAGTCATTGTGTATGTGTTCATAAAATTGATTATTCTTGCTAAAAGAGCAAGTTTCCTTGCTATCTAAGCACAGAATGCATGTTTTGATGTATGCAGTTTCTCAGTAAATTAATCCAAAGAGAATTTTCTCATTATGTTTTCCTAAACACAGCATTTTTAGTGAGAACCACAATAAGAACCAGTGAAAAGAACCTTTCAAAGAATATCCATGATGCAGCAAGCTATTCCACAAGTCTACTAATGAAATGGAAAAAAGGCTGTGCCTATTAAGAATTAATATCCAGAAAGTGACTGGCAGTAGTGGGAAACTGTCAGGGGAGGGAGGAGCATACCTCATCAACAAGGGTACCTGCATGATCAATGTTTGTATACCTAACCCTGAATTGTCTACATCTTTATAATTTAAAATTAATGAATTAATCAATAATTTAAAAAGAATGAATATCCTTCCAGAAAAAGAGTTTTGAGTGCTGTAAATAGGTCAACATAGTTGGGAGTCTAGGAAAACCCAGTTCAAAGGCTGAAGAGAAGGGAAGACATCACTTGGGCAGAAGCTGGGACTGTCCCCAGGTTCTGTGAATTGTATTCGTTAGACCAGAGAGGTCTGAGTCAACCAACAACTCTGCCCAAGGCACAGAATCTGCTAATCGTGCCAGTATGTGATGAGGAAATGAATTCAGGTTCTTTATCAATGCCTGTCTTTTAAGTCATAGGGTATATATCTGTCTCTCCTTCCAAGAAGATGTGTACTTCTCTATCATGACTCTAATTACACTGAAAGGGTTTCTTTACCATATTTCTCTATAAGCTCTGCCATAATTCCTCTTCATAAGCACAACACTGCATATATGAAGAAATACCCCAAAGATAATCCCAGAACTTAGTAAAATGGGTGTGGCCCAGCTGAGGGACTCGAGGTTCACCTGCACGCACACTCGTGGAAAAGCGGTCCTGATGAACAGATGGGATATGAGGGAGGGGACACAACTGTCACCACCCACGGACCTTGCCATGAAAGGCAAACCTCGCCACTCAGACCTAGGCAGTCCTAAGGACACCAAGGACATTGCTGTAAGATGTGTCTTCCTCCCAGAAGACCCCACCAAAAATGTTTTTAAATCTTTGATTGTACCCCACCAACATACTGTGAGTATTCGACCACTTTAAAAATGTCCTTGTTCTTTTTCTTCACAATTTGAGCCAACTGCCTCTTGGCCAGTGACTATCTTGGAGTCATACAGCAGAAAGGTGTATGTGCCAAAGTTTCAATATTGATTTTATTTTGTATCTTACAGTTTAATTAAATTATATACTGCTTTTTTAGTTCTAGTAGTCCATGAGTTGTTTGAAGGTTGGGTCTGTCACTAATTTATAGAGGGGAGCCCTGAGCAGTCAAGAGCACAGACCCTTGAGCTACGCTGGGCGCCCCCTCACTAACTGTGAAATGAGGCCAATTGCTGAACCTCCCCAGTGCCACAGTGGCCTCAGCAAAAACTGTGGGAAAAACCAGTTTTTATATCACAGGGCTGTTGTGAAGGGTAGGCAATCCATGGAAAGCAATTACAGCAATACCTTGCCCAGAGTACACAAATGCTCAATAAATCTTATTCTTATTAAAAAAGAAAAAAACTGTTGCTCAAAAATATTTACTGAATATATTCTATAGCTATTCATTGCTACATTTGAATGTCCCCTCTAAAACTCATGTTGGAATTTAATCACCATCATGACAGTATTGAGATGAGACCATTAGGAGGTGATTAGGTTCCAAGTTCATGGATGAATTGATGTCATTATCCTAGGAATGGATTTGTTATCACAGTGGGGTTGTAACAAAAGCAGGTTTGGACATCTCTTTCTCTCTCACATATGCCCTATTGACCTCCACCTTCTGCCATGGGAGATACAGAATGAAGGCCCTGGCCAGATTCTGGCCCCTCACATCGTGGTCTTCCCAGCTTCTAAAACTGTGAGAAACACATTTATTTTCTTTGTAAATTACCACATCTGCGGTACTCCATTACAGCAAACAAAATAAACTAAGACAACTATGGAAATTTATCATGTTCATGAATTACTTCTGGCATTTAGACTGATATAATGTCTGAAATAGTCCAGATGCCTAAACTAGGCAAGATTTAATAACTTCTAAGATGCAATATTTTCTTGCTTAGCTTAAATTAATCATAATAACTTTGGGATAGCAGTCATACAAGCATATGAAAAGGATTTTTAAATGGTATTTGCAAATGGAATCATCATCCTGTCTACTTGGAGTTTTCACTCTGGAACATACTGAACCTCATAAAAAATTAGGAAGGAGTGATGCAAAAGGAAGATAAGCAAGACTTGAGGCTGCCAAGATGAAAGAGAAACCACATCCAGATGAAAATAATTACACCAGTTTTGCAATTCCTGTCAACTTATGGAGAAACAGGTAGAACAATCTTCAAAATTTTCAAAGACCTAGATTCACAATCTGTACAAATTAAATAAACAAGGAATCACTTTTCTTTCTGGGCAATCAATTAACATGAGGAGGGACCCCCCCCCAAAACCCCCAGAATTGATTTAGGAAAAAAATACGTATTTATGTTTAATAAATACATTTAAACTCAGTCACCTTCAAAGTACTCTCCATTTGATGCAATACTCCTACTGAGATGCTTTTTCCACTGCTGAAAACAGATTTTGAACTCGTCAATTTGGATGCCTTTTAGTGCTTCTGCTGTTTTTTGTTTCACCTCTACCACATCGGCAAACATTTCCCTTTGAGGACTTTTTTCATTGGGGAAGCAAAAAGCAGTCACTCGGGCAATATCAGGTGAATAGGGAGGGTGAGGCATGGGAATGGTTCCGTTTCTGGTCAAAAACTGCTGGATACTCAGCATGGTGTGAGCAGGTGCACTCGTAAATCACCCATCAAGAAATGGGCAAATGCACTGAAAGAACCTCCAAAAAAAATTCACTGAAGCCAAAAACAGCCTCTCACAACAAAGCTAGCTGGTACACCGATGTCAAAGCCTGTAGTACAAGGGGTCCACTCTCCAACAATAATTCCAGTTTTTTTTGAAGGGTCCTCCTTATACACAGAAAATTATACTGACAAACAATTATTTTAAAATATACCTAAATAGGGGATGCTTTTGTCGCTTAAAAATCCCATTAAGTTGCAGTAATTTTTAACTATTCCAGTCTTTTTTTTAAAAAAAGATGAGGTCTTGCTATGTTGTCCAGGCTAGTCTTGAATTCCTGCGCTCAAGTGATCCTCCCACCTCAGTCTTCCAGGTAGCTGCATTTCAGTAATATTTTATTAGAGGTCTACAAAGGCCTCTAATCACCTAAACAACTCACCAGTTCAAGTTTCAAATGTATAGATTCGGTTTATTTAGGAGTAAGAGAAGTAGGAGTAAGAGAAAGATATTTTTAAAAATGCTTTTCTGGCCAATGCATTCTCATATTTGACTGTTTATATTGTGCTTTTAGTGATCTTTGTGAATCTACAACAATCTCATCTCTCACCATTCGAATTATGGAGTCAACAAATCAAATAACAGTCTACCAAATTGATTTCATCGGGGCCTACCATCTTCTTCTTATTAATGATCAATCAAAATAAATATTGTAGAAGCTAAGTATCTGTAAAACTAGTCAGATTGCCACACACACACACACAGACACACGCATACACAAAAGCCAAATAGCTAGAGTAACTAATTTTAAGCCATGAATGCATTTTCTCCCAGTAAGATCTAACTGTAGATATTCCCTTCATTTTTACATGATCACCATGGTAACCACATTTCTTATGGATCTGAACTTAAAATTAGGTCACATCAACTTAGTACATGAAAATCGTTCATGTAAACACAAACATATACATACATATCTTTAATGGCATATATCTGACGTGCAAGTATGACAGGTACCCCCTCTTTGGCCACGTAGGGAATCCTCGCGTGAATGTCAGCCACCACATACCTGTGAGGGCCCAGATGTCTTGCTCTCTTAAAATGGCCAATCCCTTTACAACCTGGGGTTGAGCATCCACCGTGTTCTGAAGCCTCCATTAATTCCACAGGGCCTACGAAGAAGCAATGAAACAAAGAGGGGTCAAAAGGTTGAGCAAAAAGTAGTTGGAGGCAAATGTCGGGGATCAGGATACGGAAGGAAAAAAACTCCCTAAAAATTCACTGGTGAACCGACATCTATAAACAGAACAAGAAGGAGATCCTATAAAAATGAAAACGATCTTAAAAGTCCCTTCCTGTCAAGGTCTTTCCCTATCTACCTTTCTTCAACCGTGAAATGGTCAACTCTGATCTTATAGTCTTCTAAAATGTCACAGATTCCACAGATATCTAAATCTGAACAAATGAGAAGATTCAAACCATTTCTGGGAAGTAACACAACATAATTAACATATGCATCCTCACGTCCTGCGAAAGCTTCAACTGCGACAGCAGAATCCAGACTAACAGTTCCGGATCCCTTCCAAGACCTTCCTTCTACACTTCAGCCCTCCCTCACCCCAGGCTGAGGTCAATGTCTGCCCTCGATGCTGTTCTAAGCAATACGCACACATTCCATTTTGTTTTATTTTGCCACATAAGAGGGACACATTCTTCTTTGTCTTTTAACTTCTGACAAATGTTTCTGTCACAACATTAATGTTCTTTATGACTACTACATATAGTACAGTGCCTTGCCATTTATTTGACCAATAATTGTTTCCAAGTTGTTTTTTTTTTTTTAACACATGCCACAATAAACACCACATATATGCATTTTTGTGCCCTTACCCAGTTTGTATGGAGCATCCAGAAGTGAAGCCTTTGACCAGGGAAAGCATACTCAATTTTTTTCAAACCAGACAATACTTTGCTGTATTTCCTACATTTTTTTTTCTACAATGTACACTTTTTCATGCAAAATTGAGATCACGGTATGCTGAGTTCTCCATGTAGCCTTTTAAAAAATTTCACTTTTTTTTTTTTATTGCGATAGTTTTAGATTTACACACGGTTATAATAATACAGAGGCGACATCTCTTACACTTTGCCCAATTTCTCCCAATGTTAGCATTTCACAAAGCTATACGATAAAATTATTATTAGGATACTAACATTGAAACAATAAATTTTGATAGTCTCCCAAATTACCTTCCAAAAATTCAGTACTAATTTTAAAAGATGATGTCTACTTCCAAATAAAGAAAGAGAATGTCTATATACACTTTACTTTTGCAGGCATTACACGTTGTTCTTTCATATTTTTGTGACTATGGTAATTAAAAGTGTAGTAAAAGGAAAAGAATTACCATAGAGAAGAAATATAAGAATAGAGAGAGAAAGAGAAAGAGAAGGGAAGGGAATGGAAAAACATTAAGTGCGCTACACAAGAAAATGAAAACATTTAGACAAGGTATTCTTGTGTCTCTTACTCAAAGGAGGCTGAAGAGGATGTCCTGTTTTTGAACACCAGCCCACAGGGTGAATATCAGGAGAATCTGCGTCTATCCAGTAGTCATAGCAACTATTCCAGCCATCAAAGTGAACCTGGATACCACAAGGAATTGAACGGTACAAATTAAAAGTCACAAAAATTCCTACAGTAAAAGTTCTGCCCACAGCATAACCATTTTCATTATCTCCTAACTTATATAGTAGATTCAATAGCCAATAAACCAGTCTAATTATTTAAAATACTTCACTTACAAAACAGACTTTTGAACTACCTGCAGTGTATTATCTAACCATTAATAAATGCCCTGCCAAAGGCACTTTTTGGCAATAAATGGTTCTTTAGATATATTCCACGTATCTTTCAACACCTTGAACAGCTTGAGCAACCCAAAGAAGGCTGAATTTGTTTTTTTAAGCTCCCACATATGAGTGAGAACATGTGATATTTGTCTTTCTGTGTCCTCCAAGTTCATCCACATTGTTGCAAATGACAGGAACTCTAATATACTATCTTCATATGATCAACATCAAGTACCCAATAAATATTATTATAGTAACTGAAAATCAGGGAAGGAAGGGAGAGAGGGAGGAAAGAAAGCAGGAAGGAAGAATGGAGAAGCAGGAGATGAGAGGAGAACCTTTCAAGTAAATGTCAAGTCGCCTAGAATTGTGCTGAAAAAGACTCAAAAAAAAATTCAATGCCTTACTAGAAACACAAATTTACAAACAATCTCTCCACTAAATACATTTTAAATAGACTTTTTTATTTTTAATTTTTATGAGTACATACTGATGGAGTACATGTGATGTTTTAATAAAGACATACCATGTATAAGGATCAGATCAGAGTCACTGGGGCATTCATCACCTCAAGCTTTTATCATTTCTCTGTGCTAGAACATTCCAATTCCATTCTTTTACTTATTTTGAAATATACAATAATTGCTGTTAACTACAGTCACACTACTGCATTACCAAACACTAGACCTTATTAATTCCACCTTTTGAACTTGTGTTCCCTTTAACCATCTCCACTTTATCCTCCTCACCCTCTCACTACCCTTCCCAGTCTTTGGCAACCTTCATTCCACTATCTCTAGGAATTCAATTATTTTACATTGAAAGGCTCCCACATATGGGTGAGAACATGTGGTATTTGTCTTTCTGTGCCCAGAGTACTTCACTTAACATAATGTCTCCCAGGTTCACCAACGTTGTTGCAAATAACAGGATTTCTTTCTTTTTATGGCTGAATAATATCATACTGTGTATATATGCAGCACACTTTCTTTATCCATTCACCTGCAGATGGACACTTAGATTCCTTCCATATCCTGGCTACTGTGAAGAAACATGTTGCATTATAAAGCGATCAGTGCTACCATCTTTATTGGCCACCACATGAAAGGGAAGTTGGTCTTCTAGTTGAGATCACCAGGCCAGCCCAAGAGGTTGAAGCTGCGGTGAGCCATGATTGTGCCACTGCACTCCAACCTGAGGGCCAGAGTGAGACTCCGACTCAAAGAAAAAGCTTCATCTAACTTATTAGTGTCTCTATCATTATTTACACTATTTATCTCTTAATTTATAAACTACTGGAGGGGAAAAGCAATAATTATGAAAGATAGTAAATTACAAAGTCAATTTTAGGATCAGAGAAACAAATTCATTTTATTTATCTTTCTGTCATTGAGTTAGAACATATAGTCTTAATCCTGTTTAGACTTAATCTCTGGGTGATTTGTCCATTATCCTGATGATCATTATTTTATTTTCTGTCAACATAAAGCTTCTGTCAACATAAAGCTTGCTAAGTGTTTTGTTAGGACACGGGTCGACGAGGCTTCAGACCAACCAGGGTACTCTTATGGCCACATGTGGCCCATGTACCTAAAATCACAGGCAAGAAATGCAGGACACCACATGGGAAATTGGTAAGTGCCTTTCTTCCGCCATTCACACCTTTATCTTGTTATTCTTCTCAATGTATAGAAAAGAAAGTATCTGTAGATTACAAAGGGACACTTAAGCAAGCATCTTGTCTCCCCCTCTTTCCCAGCTGGTTCTCCTGGTTTTGGTTTCTCTCTCTATGGCTCTTGTCAAAAGCCTGTCAACTTCTAGAAGGTTATTCACTCAACCGATAGTGAATGGACTCCAAGGGCAAGGCATATGTTTGCCTGGACAGCCAAGTAAGTCAGACCCAATCCCTACTCTCAGGCAGGTGACATTCTATCAGGGAAACAGGCATTACAGACACCAGCTGCACAAGCATGTCCTTTCCAGCTATGGTAATTGCTGTGGCACCGAGGTCCAGGGGTTCTACCCAGATCCCAGTGGTCCGGGAATGCTTGCTTGAGGAAGTCATATTTGAAGCTAACTTTGATGGGCTTAACTGGACAAAGGGAAGTGGGTTGGGAGATACATGATCACCTCAGACAGTGGGTATGGAACACAAAAAGGCCAGGCAACAGGAAAGAATGATGAGTGCCTGAAGGAAAGCTGGTGTCCAGAGAGCTTCGTGGTAGAGAAAATCAAGGGAGAGAATTAAAGCCGGTGCTGGGCAGGCTCCAGACCCCTTAACGTCAACAGGCCAGTTAAGAATGCTTGTCATTATCCTAAGAGAAGTGAGAAGCTCTCCATAGAGAGGCTTTACACAGGGTCATGACTGATACAAATTCCTGCTTTGTAAGATCCCCCTGGCTGTCTGGACGATGGATTCAGTGGGTGTGATGTTGGATGCCTGCACTCAGTAGAACTGGTTGATAAAACAGCTCTGGTGTGGGGGAGAGAGCAAGACGACAGACACCTCAGCAACAGGCAGGTATTATTTCAGAAAACAGAAAAACAAGGGATCAACTACCTACCTTTTAGGTATCACACATTTTCTGCATTTTAGGACTGACATGCTTTATATAGTTTACTTTTAAATCAAGTTTAACAGTTGTGTCAACTGATCATACGGTATCAAGAAAAAAAGTTTGCCACTTAGATTTCTTTTTAAAGTCTATGAAACTCTATGGACTTGGCAGCAACTTGGATGAATTTAGAGTCTATCATACGCAATGATCTATCACAGAAACAAAGAACAGAGTACCATATGTTCTCACTCATAAGCAGACCTTGAACAATTATAATACTATAAAAGAAAGGGATTGGCAGTAGTAGGAAACTATCAGGGGAGGGGGGGTGGGATTGGTAGTCGAGGGAAACTGCTAGGGGAGGGAGGGGCATGCCTTATCAACAAGGGTACCTGCATAATTAACATCTGTATACTTAACCCTGAATTGTACCCCACATCTTTATAATAAAAAAATTTATTTTATTTTATTTTTTAATCAATAATTTTTTATTATGATATTGTGGGGTACAGTTAAGGGTTAGGTATACAAATATGCTCCGTTCAGGTACCCTTGTTGATAAGAGGTGTCTCCCCATCCCCAGACAGATATTTACTACCGTTAATCCCATCTCCCTTCCCCTCCCCCCATAGTTTCCCACCACTGTCAGTCATTTTCTTATAGTATTATGTTCGATGTTCAAGGTCCACTATATGAGTGAGAACATGTGATACTCAGATCTTTGTTTCTGTGAGAGATCACTCAGTATTATAGACTTTAGTTCCATTCAGGTTGCTGCAAAATTCATGATTTTGTTCTTTTTTATGGCTGTGTAGTATTCCATCGTGTATATGTACCACATTTTTAAAATTCAGTCCTCTTTTGATGGACAGTGTGGTTGCTTCCAGGTTCTTGCTATTGTGAACAATGCTGTGATAAACATACGTGTACAGGTATCTTTTTTATAGTGATTTGAGTTCTTCAGGGTATACTCCCAGTAGGGGGATTGCAGGGTCATATGGGAGGTCAATATTTAGAGCTAATTAAAAAATTTAAATAAATAAAAAAGAAAAATAAATAAATAAAGTCTATGAAACTCTCACTCCTTACAAGACAATAGATATAAACAGATGAAAATTTTAAACACTAAAAACACAAATGTCTCGTTATTAAAAATATATAAATAGTAAATATGTGAAAAAAACAACAAATTTCACTTACAACTAAAAAACTATAAATTTAAATTGCAAAATGCAATTCTTCTATCACTGTGCCAAAAATGTTCACTTTGGTGATTCCTACAGCTGATAAGTAAGAGAATAAACTAGCATTCTTATAGACTGTTGATAGGAGTGTATAATTGGTGAGATATTTCTGGAAAATTCTTTGGCAAAAACAATCAACACTTAACATACATTATCTCTGCCTTGATGTCTCAATAACTCATTGTTTGTAATAGAAAACAACAAGAAGTAACCAGAGTGTCCACCATCAGGAGAATGGTTAAATTTTGGTATGCTCATATAATCAAATAATATGAAGTTATTAGAAGCATATATAGAGGCTCAAAAAAATGTCCTTTGCAACAAATTCACTTTCTCAAGCTTAGAAATCAATTAATCTTAGAATCAAAACCCCACTGAAGATTTGAAAAGACATGTTTCAGCAAGAAAGAGAGTACACTAAGAAAAACAAAGTTGGCCAGGCATGGTGGCTCACGCCTGTAATCCCAGAATTTTGGGAGGCCAAGGTTGGAGACTCCTTGAGTCCAGGAATTGCAGACCAGCCTGGGCAACATAGTAAGATCTCATCTTTAAAAAAATAATTAAAAAAAATTTTTTTTAAAGTATGTGACCCAGGAAAATAAAATATGACCTAGTCTGTCAGCAAAGAAGTCTCAGGATGAAAGCTCTGTAGCTGACTTAGAGGATATCCAGCCAGACTGGAATAAGTGGCTGCTGAGTACAGAAATAAATAATTAAAAAAAAAAAGACACAGAAAAAATGCTGAAAAATACCCTGAGCGTATGATTTAAAGACATGTCAGATCTACTGGTGCATTTGTAAAAATCTATAAGATAGAAAATTTAAAAACCAAACTATGAATAAATTATTGATTCCCAGAAAAACAAAAAGTCATAAGGAGCTCACACCTGTAATCCCAGCACTTTGGGAGGCCAAGGCAGAAGAATGGCTTGAGCCCAGGAGTTCAAAATTAGCCTGGGCAACATAGTGAGACCTTGCTGCTACAAAAAAAAAATATCATAAAAATAAGCCAAGCATAATGGCATGTGCCTGTAGTCCCAGCTACTCAGGAGGCTGAAGTAGAAGGATCGCCTGAGCCCAGGAGGTCGAGGCTGCAGTGAGCCATGACTGTGCCACTGCACTCCAGCCTGGGCAACAGAGATCCTGACTCAAAAAAAAAAAAAAAAACAGTCATAAGGAAAAGATAGTTGCTCAGCAGTGAGCAAGATTTACCTACTCATAATAACATGAACACGAAAGTGAAGAAATAAAGCAATCAACGTGAAACAGCTAGTGAAAGGATAAGGGGAGGGAGGATGCAAGATCTAAATCCTGAACTACTAAAACAAGAGGAAAATAAACCACATCTACAACTGATAAGCTGAGAAATAGCAGAATGGAGGTAACATTTTAGAAAGTTGGAGATAAAGTGTCATGAGCAATTGCTAAAAGAGCCACAGTTCTGGCCTCTGGAAAGCCAGGCTGGGGAAATAGAGGCAAGACTCTATTACATTCTGTCACTGAAAACATAAATAAGAGCAAAGCCGGTATGGCCATATTTCTTCAACAGCATCTGATAAAATACAGGAAAGTTTTTAAAATGTTTTACTATAATAGTTCAAGGTCTAAAATATTCATTTAACTTAAGAGTTGATTTTATCCCTGAAAAACCTAAAATACTAAGTTATACTAATAACTCGGTCTATCTTTTTTTCTTTTCCTCCTTCTTGAAAAAGAAAAATGGGCTTTCCTGCTGGATCAGCTCCCATTTATTAGAATAGAAAAACCCCTATGGTGTCAAGCTTTTTATGTTCTCAGAAGCCTGTGAAAGAATTCTGAAACTGAAGCCACTGTCATCTGTTTACAGATCCTTTGAGAACTTCATAAACACTCAAAGATTTGTTCACTGGTTCACCTTCAGCTATGAAATTCATTCCAGCAATTAGGAAAAGACAGTCATTAACAATACACCTCACAGCAATCTCTTCTGACGGTACTAAGGACCAACCAGGATGCAGTATTAGAGAATTCAGCTAGAGTCTAAACTCTTCCCTTAACTAACTGGGCCACCCATTTTAGCATATTAAACCTCTCTGGTCCCAAATTTTCTCACATGTAAAATCAGAGAGGTAATCCAAGTGTTTTTATCTTAAAAACAATATATGTTCCCGAAGTCAAATACTTAAAAAGAAAAATCTAATCACTTGTAGTACCAGCACCCTAAGAGAAACAATATCATTATTTTGGTACGTTTCTTTCTAGGACCGCTGATGCATCTATTCTTTTAAAAAACAATGGATGAAGCCGGGCTCGGTGGCTCAGCCTGTAATCCCGTGCCTTGGGAGGCTGAAGTGAGTGAAGTGCCTGAGCCCGTGGGTTCGAGACCCACCTAGGCAACTTGGTGAGATCTCATCTCTACCATAAATCAAAAAATGAGCCGGGCGTGGTAGCGTGCGCCTGTAGTTCCAGCTACTTGGAAGGCTGAGGCGGGAGGATCGCCAGAGCCCAGCAGGTCGAGGCTGCGGTGGCTGGGAGCCGCCACTGCACTCCAGCCTGGGCGACAGAGTGAGACTCCGACTCAAAAAAACACAATAGATGTCATATATAATGTTGAACCTGAACTTCTCACTTGCCAATATTAAAGAATCTTTTAACTTTTATTTAACTTTCACATCATTTAGATACAGAATGATTCATTTTACCCATCAGCTACTGTTCAATACTATAAACAGCAGTGCTGTATTTTCCTTGGAGTTTTTATCTGTGTATCTTCCTTTTGGCTCTTCCTTTAACATACATTCATAGCACTGAAGTTCTTAAGTGAAAGGATAAACAGCATTCTAAGATGCTGCTAACCTTTTGCCAAACTGCTCTTTAGAAAGGCTGAGACACTTGACATGCCCACTAGCCACATGTGATTATTAACTTTGCATAACCCCAAACCAAAACAGGTTTTTCTCAATTCGGAGCAATTTGATTTATAAAAATAATATTGTGCTTCTCTGTGTTTCTTTGATTACTAGTCTAGATTACTTTCAAAAATACTTCTAGTTCTAAAATACTGTGATCGCTTTATTACTTACATAACTACCAAGTACAACTAATAAGAAAATGCACTTGCAAAAAGGCTAACACAGGCCTTGCAATATTTGTACAATTTTCTAAAATGTTATATGATTTATATAATCTTTATTTTGAGTCGGGGTCTCACCCTGCACCGTAACTTACCAGTGGCATGATGGTAGATCACCACAGCCCTGAATTCCCGGGCTCAAGCAATCCTCCCTCCTGAGCCACCCCTAGTACCTGGGACTACAGGCCCACGTCACCACACCTGGCTAATTTTTTTTATTTTTTGGAGAGACAAGGTCTCTTCATGTTGCCCAAGTTGGTCTCAAACTCCTGGGCTCAAGCAATTCTCCTGCCTCAGCTTCCCAAAGTGCTAGGATTACAGGCATGAACCACCGCACCCAGCCTGGTCATATAATCTTCGCAAGAGTGAAGTAGATACTGACATTTCTATTCTATAGAAATACCACATTTGTGTGGTTTTTGCTATTTTAGAATTTTTTTCTTCCATATTATCTTACTAATATGGAAGAAATACTGAAGATGTGATTTATTATTTTTTTAAAAGCATAAACTTAAGACTTCTACAGATTCAAATTGAGTTCTTCCATTGCCCATAATTAATAAAGTAATTCATTTAATCTTTCTGAGCCTCCACCTCATCAATAAAATAGTGATCACAACACAGGCTTCCCATAATGCAATGACCACAAATGTTAAATAATAGGAGATCACTGTTACCCTGGAAAACGCAGGTACATCTATTGTCTTGCTGTCACAACTATTATTAGTCCCAACAGAGTCCAAACGACCCTGTGAAGTGGTAGAACAGTACTGTTCTGGTTTGAGAGTGAGGTTAATGCTGAGGCCAAAGCAGAGACAAAACCCCAGGACTCCCTTCCTGAACCAACTTCACTCCACCATGGTTGGACATAACAAACAGCCCATCTCCTAAGTTCCTGCTTGTCGCCTTATGAAAAGTCTCAGACTTTAATTAATCTAACCCTCATTAAAAACTGACTTTATTCATAAAATGATTTATCTCTACTTGTCCCATATTAAAAGAGAGGACATTCTTCTGATAACAGTGCAACAACACCCTACAAAAAAACATTAATCTTTCATTTTTTTTTTTTAAAAAGAGCAATACTACTAGAGAATGAAGAATTGTATTTTCTTCTGAACAAAATATTACCTTACTGTGCTGTGTCTACTTCCCTTCTCCCGATATACACTCAAAATATTAAAAGTCACTCATAATCAAAGATAAAATATCTTACACAGATGAAAGGACAGCCCAAATGAACACTGACTTACAAAGATGCAGAGTCCATTACTATGATTTTAGTAATTTAATTACTGGACTTCACAAGTTAGACATCTACTAAAGTTATCATCCAAAATGAAACAAAAGACAAAAACAGCCCACAACAGAGAATACTTACTTTTATTCGGTGATCATCCGTGTCTGCAACAGTGGCTACTCTAATAAACATGGGGTTTCTTTTATCTACAACCTCAAGCTTCATCTTTTTCTGAAATCCATGTGGAGGTTTCTGCCATAAGAGAAAATTTTACACAGTGAGATTTAGAGGAAGAGAAGGCAGATTTGATGTTACAGAAAAGAGTAAGAAGCGATAGATGAGCTATTTAGAGAACTAGTCTTTTAAACTCTCAAGTGCCCAGAGTGGCTCTGGCCCTCACTCTTCCCATCAAAAACACAATCCCAACACACATGCACAAGGGAAACAAACAGCCTTAGTTCCTAGTTAGGAGCAAAGAAGAAAGGCGGCAGCAGGCCATGTGGCGGTCCATGCCTCTAATGCCAGCGCTGCAGGAGGCCGAGGCAGGAGGACTGCTTGAACCCAGGTGTTCGAGACTGCAGTTCAGCTATGACTGTGCACTATGCTCTAGCTGGGCAACAGAATGAGGCCCTATCCTGCTTTAAAAAAAAAAAAAAAAAAAAAAGGCTGAAGCAAAAGACTTTAAGATGAAGTTCAAAAGTGTAGTTATAGGAAAGTCAGGAAATATTTTCCATGAGTTGGGGGTGTCTTGCGAAAAATCAACAAGCCATAAAATTTATTTTTAAAAAGACACAGGAAGAACATTAAAGAGGCTAAGATGAGACACCATGATTAGAGGTGGTAATGAGGGCAAAAAGCAGAAGATAACTTTAAGAAAGAAAATCAGGCACTTTGGGAGGCTGAGACAGGAGGATCCCTTGATCCCAGGAGTTCCAGACCTGCCTGGGCAACATGGTAAGACCTTATCACTACTGAAAAATAAAAGACTTAGCCAGACATAGTAGCAGGCATCTGTAGTCCCAGGACTACAGGGAGGAGGTTGAGGCAGAAGGATCGCCTGGGTCCTGGAGGTCAAGGCCGCAGCGAGCCATGATCATGCCACTGCACTCCAGCCTGCACAACAGAGTGAGACCCTGACTCAAAAATAAAAATAGCTGGGCACAGTGGCTCATGCCTGTAATCCCAGCACTTTGGGAAGCCAAAGTGTTCAAGACAAGCCCAGGAGTTCAAGACAAGCCTAAGCACATAGTGAGACCTTGTCTCTACAAAAAAATTAGCTGGGCATGGTGGTGCACACCTGTAGTCCCAGCTACCTAGGAGTCTGAGGTGAAAGGATCACTTGAGCCCAGGAGGTCAAGGCTAAGGTGGGTCATGATCCACCCTGTGTGACAGAGTGAGACTCCCACTCAAAATAAAATAAAAATGAATACCGTTTGAAGGTTCCCCCTTGCTCTTAGGATAAAATCCTAACTCCTAGGCCTTTCCTAAAAAAAAGTTGCAACCATTCTGATAGGAACAGGAATGAGGAATGAGAAAGGGGGACCAGTTATCTACACTTCATACTTAGCAGAAGCCCATAAACTACTGAAAAGTCACAGACAGCAACAGACAAGGTGATTGTTTGGTATGATATAAGGCATGTTATGATATAAGGCAAGCTTCAGGTCCTTCTTCTGTGAAATGGGTGCAATAAAAATGTCACTCTGAAAATTAAGTGTGAAAATTACATATGGGATGCAGAACAGTCAATGCAAGGCATCTAAAAAAGACCCAACTAGGCAAATCTCAATTTTCTCTCCGATATGACACTAGTTATGTAGATGGGTCCTGATATAATTTTATCCATTTAATGCTAAGTGTAACACAGCTCTGCTTTGCACTAGACAAAGCTAAAGTTAGGGGATGGGAAAATAAAAATTCCTAAGTATGACATAACTCTAAATGATATTCTTCTTTAAATCTTGAATTTGTTACCAGATGGAATCACATACATTCATTCTTTGACATAGTTTCTCTTCATGTATCATGTTCTGCTCTTAAAATTTTTTGATGTTCTTTTCTTCTATAATTAGACCTATACTTACTAATTAATTATATCATTAAAAATCTCAGCAATTTTAAATGATCATAAAAGGACAATCTAAAGAAAAGCACGGTATTATTTAAAATAGGCTAATCATGCCACATTTTAAAAAAATAAGTACTTAACATATCTTTCATTTCCTTTAAATTCATGTAAATGTAAATTATAAAGCAAACTACTTGAGATGAAAAACTAAAAAATATATTTCACTTTTTATTCTTTCCTTGCACAGAAATGAGCTTTATTTGAATCTTAATATGTTACATGCAAAAAGCAATGACCCTAGGTTAGAAAAATATTGTAATATAAAAGCAGATGATCTTGCTTTCTAATAGTTAAACATGCTGACTTGTAGCAATAAAAGACAGCATCCCAGCTTGCCATAAATAAATTTTAAAAAATTATCAAATGCAATTTTTATTAGAAAACATTTTCCTGGTGAGGCATGATGGTTCACACCTGTAATCCCAGCACTTCGGGAGGTAGAGGTAAGAGAACTGCTTGAGCTCAGGAGTTTGAGACCAGCCGGGGCCACATATTGAAACCACCTCTCTATTTAAAACAAACAACAAAAAACCCTATTCTGTTTTGGTCTTTCAGAATATCTAGCTAGAAAAATAAAAGCTTGCTGTAAAATTTCATCAATTCACCTCACACAGTGTCCAGTAGAATTGCTTTTCCAGGAAACTTAAAAAATGAAAGTTATTTTTTAGATACCAACAACAAAAATACCAGCAATAATTTCTGACTTTAAAAATTCACAAATTTATTTGGCCTTCTGTTTTCTTCTCATTCCCATTCTGGTTCACCAGTACTACCTCTTTCTGCTCTTAAATTTCAATAAATAAACAACATCATCAACACAAATGAATCAAATGGTATAAAATGTATTATCTCACCACTTTAAAAGCTCTTGCAGGAGCAGGTAAAGAATTGGTTTCTTCTAAGTATTTATCCCAAGAAAAATGTTTCACATTTGGATAACCTAAGAAAGAAAAATGCAAATCCCATAAAGTTTAATCAAAGTGATAGCAGGGATAACAAACTGTCCAACTATAATAGTAAGAGATTGTTATCACTATAATATAGGAAATTATGTTAATATACACATAAGACAACTCTGAACTAGTCACACATTCAGAACTATTTGAATAATGAAATTGTTTTCATCGTGAACATTATTTTTCTATTACTTTTAAAATGAAAATTGTATACATACATGTATATGTATAATTTATATTCTCAGGTAAGGATAGTCTTACACAGAAGACAGACACATACATACAAATACTCTTTGATCTAGCAATTTTATTTTTACTAATCTAGGAATATCTCAGAAATGAAATACAAAGACAATACACAATTATTTTTAAAGTAAAGATGTCAAAACCATGTAAATAATCCTCGATTTAGGGAGGTGCAAAAATATAAAGTATACATGAAGTAGAAAGCACTTATTTAAAAGGATGTGGCAGATTCATATACAGTAACATCTTCATATTGTCAGGTCAAACAAAGAAGCACACATAAATCATGGAACATTATTATAAGAATGTGTAAAACTCTTCTTCCCTTCCCTCTGCCCTCTTTTGTTTCCTCCAGAGCCCAAAATCCATGAGGTAGGCATGAGCAGGAAGTAATGGTGGCCCCATATGGTGGGAAATTTGCCACACAAAAGGGACAGAGAAAATAAGCACATATATTGGAGAAAATGGTAGCCAGGTTTCTCAATGACTGAGAGGAAAGGTATAGAGAAAGAGGAAAACTAAAGAAAGTTGAGGGTGTTGAATTGGAGCTAATGATATAAATTCATGGAATTTTTTTGCTTTTTAAAATTTTTCAGGGACCATCTATGAGTCAGAATAATTCACGGTTTGAAGTACATAATTATATACAGAAACAGACATAAATTTGTGTATACACTGAAATACTTATCTCCTAACTAAGTCCACTGAGAGATCTGGAAGCACCAACATTCCAGGAGCCATAAGCACAACTGGCATCCCAGTCCTCATTTCTAAATGCCACCCTTTAACTAAAAAGAACAGGAATCCTAGAAGAAACAGCTGGCTCTAGGCTTGGGTCAGGGAAAGCACAAAATAAGCCTAGCTGTGCCCCAAAGTACGACGTTCTCAAAAAATGATAAGACCATTTCAAAGGGGCATCAAAGTCTGCCTAAAGGGGCTTGTGCTGGTTAAAACCTGAGAAAATCTAGACAGGAAAATAAATAATGCTAGTAATAGGTTATAACTCACTGATAAAAATAGAAATTAATGGGTCCATACTGACATAAATAAATTGGATTAATAAACGGGCAGACGAGAGAGCTATTCTTGGTAGGGGAATATCAACTAATTTTGTACAAGGAATAATGGAATAAGTAACGTTATCATTTAGCAACTGTCAGAATAATATAATTTATACTAGAAATATCAACAGATGCCAAAACAGATGCTGGGATGAGTGATAGGATATTTACACAATCTTGAAGTATCTCTCCGGAAAATACTTTTTAATTACAGAGAAAAATAACTCCATTAGTGAAGAAACCTGGCAAACACCATCTCAATCAATTAATGGCAAAAATAAACCGGTAAAGAGACAGACTGACCATGAACCACCTGAGAGGATACAATGAGAACACAGCACTGTGTCTGGGATATTCCTGCCTAAAACACACAACCTGGGTCTACTCATGAGGAAATACCAATCCTACTCACATCAAGTCACATACTACAAAATCACAGATCCGTGACCCTCAAACATGCTAAGGTCATAAAAAGTCAAGAAGACCGAACTGAAGACGACTCAGGGAATGTGACCACCGAGAGCAATGCCTGACCCTATTCCCAGCAATGACATCACTCGGACAGCTGACAAACCTGACTGGGTCTCTCAGTCAAGGGTACAGATGAGTTCTGTACTGTTCTTGAAACTTCTCTATATCTCTGAAATTGTTTTAAAATAAAATGTTTAAAAAGGAATTAATATACAAACATATTTCTGTGTCCAAATTTATGACATTTTAAAGAAACACGCTTGTACAACTTAATAATTTAAATCAGAACATTCTATTAAATAAGACTGAGGTGTATGCATGCCTGTGTGTGGATACATACAGGCAAAAAGGCTTTTCTGGAGAGAGATGATGACAAGCCATTAAAGTATTAAGAGAGATAACTGTGGTTATCTCTATTTTCACACTATACTTTAAGCATGTATCAATGTATAATTTGAATAATTCAAAATAAAAATAATTTTTAAAGGCCTAATGATTTTAGCTTCGAAACAAAGAGCAATAAAGAGAGGCTATGTGTTTAGAAAGAACAGGAATGTGGCAGTGGCCTACAGGGAGGGTCGGGGGTGGATTAATCCACAAAACAGTGAAGGGTGTTGGAGGTACAGTTATCTAGAGAGCCCAGATATTAGGAGTCCTTCTTTTCACAAAAGAGATCAGAGATAGAGCCAGGAATTTTCCTTTAGAGAAAAGGGATAAGAGAAAGAATGCCCTTTTTGTCATGAAGCAAAAACCAACATCAACACATGCCCAATAAACCAGCTTCAATGTTTGGCAGTGGTTTGTTTTTACATTTTTTTAAAGTATGGTAAAATATACATAGCGTAACATTTACCATTTTAATGATGTTATTGGCATTAAGTATATTTACATTGTTATATATCTGGTCCTTTTTCACATGCAATTTTGTATTTTTAAAAAATTTGTTGAAAAGCTACAATTTCTTCTCTTCTACTGAATTATAAAAGTTCATGAAAAGAGGCAGATGCTTGGTCTTTTGTCTTGCAGAAGAATTAAGCAGGCTGGGCTTGGTGGCTCAGCCTGCAATCCCAGCACTTTGGGAGGCCGAGGTGAGTGGATTGCCTGAGCCTGCGGGTTCAAGACCAGCCTGGGCAACTTGGCAAGACCTTGTCTCTACCAAAATCAAAAATTAGCCGGGCGTGGTGGTGCATGGCTGTAGTTCCAGCTACTTGGAGGGCTGAGGCGGAAGGATCACCGGAGCCCAGCAGGTTGAGGCTGCGGTGGCCGTGAGTGGCCACTGCACTCCAGCCTGAGTGACAGAGTGAGACTCCAACTCAAAAAAAGAAAAAAGAAAAAGAAAGAAAGAGAAAGAAATAGGCAATAATGCCTTCCACCACCGCTTTCTAGGGTACATGACCAGGAACCTGCTGGTGTTCCCTGGTTTATCATCGATTTATCAGGTCTCTGATTATGACTAAAAAGGACCAACATCAAGCTAGAAAATCTAAAAGGATCCTCCCAGCACTTCAGATGGTGACAGTGACCAAGAGGTACCTGAGCAATCATGGCTGCTCATATTTTGGAAGCCACCGGACACAGAAGGACTGAACCCGAGAAAATCTTCTGGGCAGTACCACGTTTGGACCATGAAGCCATGATCTTGCTTTAACACTTGATGATTTATGTCAACACTCCTCTTCAAAAGAGTTCTGTAAATTAGGACAGAGGCTTTCCTCCCTTTAACAAATGAGAAAACTCAGGAAGTGAAGGGGACTCAACTCGCCCATCACAGGAAAGGTTGGTCCCCTGACAGTGAGTAAATGATCAGACACGCAAAGGAAGACACTGTACCAAGGATCTGGGGACAAGCGTACAAATAACACCAGCTGTGAGAATAAAACGAGACACGTATTTGAAGCTCCAGCTGAGTCTTGGCTGCTTACATGCTGTGGGCTACCTCAACAAAACAGCTCCTACTAACCCAGGACTCATCCTCTCTGTGGGACAAAGACAGTCTTCATTACTCCTGAAGTGTCCACGGAGCACATGCAATGATGTTTTCTGTTCAGGGATGACCTGCCTTTGCATACCCTGAGTGGCACCACACGTCAAGTAGCAATGTGCTCAGAAATACCACAGACTCTGTTCTTTAGCACATGAAAACAAATTCAAAATGACATAAAACGAGGGCGCTATTTATCAGCAGTGATGCTGCTCCCTGTTAAAAAGAAAGCAAATAAGCTGAGGAGACTCCAGGGCCAGAGGCAGACAGCAGAAGCACCTGAAAACTTTGGGGACAGTGAGGTACCACTAAGCAGGAAGATGAGAGGTCTATTTTGAAACCAGGAATCATGTCAGGAAAAGAAAAAGTGAGGTGTACAAGTTCTCAACTAAGTAAAAAAAAAAAAAAAACCCCAAAAACCATAGCCTTAAGTTCTCACTCAAATGTGAACATTGTGCTTCTGTGAGGACTCATGCTGACATGAAATCCATGCTCTCTCCACAAATGCTGTCACCCTTATCATTTTTCTGGACTTGTCCAAGCCTCAGACAATCCATTTCTGTGGCTACATAATATATTTAAGGGCATACGACATAAAGTCGAGAAATGAATTTCAAACTGAGAAATAAAAGATCTTTTAAAACAGAACTTCTCCCCCCCGCCCCAAAGAAGACAAAATTTGAGATTCTGTTATGGACTAAGCCAATACTTAGTATAGTGCAAGGTACATCAGGAGACAATGAGTTGAGACCTGCTGGCCAGCTGCCTGTTGTGTCAGTAAAGTGTGACTGCAATACGACCTTCATTTGTTTACACTTTGTCTATGGCTGTTTGTGTGCTACAACAGAAGACTGTGTGGCCCACGAAGCCACGATGAGATACTAACTGGCCCTTTACAGAAAAAGAGTGCCTACTATTCTTTAAGTCTATAAATACTATTAGACACATAGTCAATCAACACAAACCTGGTGGAGTAATAAGGATTCTTCTATGTTCCTTGCACCAGCCAACCGGATGGATGTGTGGACTAGACGCTTCGCACCTGTAAGTTATACAAATTAAAAAACTGCGATGATCAGAATAAACTCACAAGTACTACTAGAAACATAAGTTAGAGAACATGAGCACTTTACAAAGAGCTCTGCTTATTAAAATGTATCTAATTTGAAAAAAATGGCTAAAACAAAGGATCTTTCATTCTTCCGCTATATTAACACCAAGTTGATTTTTACTAAATATCATATGAGATTCACAACATTAAATTTTCCCCACATATTTTCTGTATTTTCTGTAACTCTGAAAGTAGCAAAAATGCATTCAATAGCATCGTTGAAATTCAGAATTTCCATTCATTAAGATCATGTGGAACAATAAACTTAGACTGTGTACACATGATCAAGTTAAAATTATTTCAGTACCCCTAGGGGCATATGTACAAAGGCAGGATGCTCAATCACCCTCAAAACCAACATGCTATTTCTATGACCCATTAGAATGGCAGAGACAATTTCTTTCTTCCTCACCATCTTCTTCTTTCTGTCAACTTTACTACAGTCAAGCATATATTTTTCCAAAGCCTCGTTAACAGCTTGTGTACCTGGTGCATCTGATTCCTTGCTCCTAACCAACCACACTTGTTCTGTATATTCCTCATCCCAACATGCAACACATTTCAGCCTATTAACAACCTATGCAACACAAATGTTCTGCAGAACAGTTTGGGAAATGTTTGTCTAAGGGACGCCAGAGAGAGTCCAGTCTTGCTCAATTATCCAAGTCTGCTGAGTCTAACCTGAAGTCAGGCAACCTCTAGACACAGCCCTGTAGATGGGAAACCAGAAGGCAGAAAGCCAAGAAGGTAACGGTGGTTGAAGTTTCTGGGAATAAAGAAGTCTTCTGAGTAGTGAAAAACAAAAAACTTTCTAAGGAATGCTCTAAGTGGCTGAGATTAGCAGACAGTCATCACTTTCCAAGCCCTTTTCCGAAGGCACAGCCCCAGAGAGTAGCACACAGTGAGGTCATGCAACAACTATCGATGCTGATTGTTCTCAGAACTTACTCTAGCAGAAAATATCTTTAACCTAATACTTAAAGGTTTCTTCCTTTATTCACTCGTTATCTCACATCTTCCCTACCCCAAACTATTTTCCTTAGTCGATATGTTCAGGGTTAGGTGTGCGCACGCCATTATTTTAGGAATACGAGAAGAAAGCAAGCATTGCTAAGTCAATGCCAAGTTCATAAGGCAGATCTACATTTCCCACAACATATTTTTATAAAATATATCTTAAAACACAATAATTTTTATAAAGATAATTTAATACACACATCGTATAAACACAGTTATAGAGTGCTATTTCCAGCTATCCAAATCCTTTCCTAAATAATCATTTTGGTGATGGACTGTTTCAAGTGATACACTGCCTTTATTCTAGGGAAAGACGTTAATTCAGCTACAGCTTCATTAAAAATGAAAAAATAACAAATGTATAACATTTGTTTAATTTTTTTCCTCCCTAATAGAACTTACAGAGTGGTTTTCATAAACCAAACTCATATCTGCCAAACTCGTGGTAATTATTTTAAAGTAAAAATATGAAACATTATTAACTCTTTTGGCTTCATTAGATTTCTCCATAAATTGCAATTAAGAAAATACCATGGCATATTATGGCCATTCATTTCCGCACTACCTGAATCTTATATAAAGTTTTATAATTTCTAAATACTGATCAAAGCCATCATTTAAAATAAACAATGAAGCCATCTCAATAGAGAAGAAAAAAAATACCTCTAATTTTATCTATCTTACTTATACTGTCTTAAGAAGCAAACAACACTTCATTCAAAACTTGGAAGGCTTTGATATCCTTTCTGCTATTACTATAAAACAAGTCATCTCTTAGTCCCATCTAGTGTTCAAAAGCAGAAATGTAACAGAAAAAAAATATAATGAAGAACAACTAATGGTGAAAAGTTGGCAAATCATCAATCATTGCACCTCTTTATTTCTTTCCTTTAGATTTTTATGTATATCATGAAAAAAATTACATCTCAAAAACATTTTTTAAAAGTCCATTTCAGTCAAAGTGGCTCATGCCTGTAATCCCAGCACTTTGAGAGGCTAAGGAGAGTGGACCGTCTGCAACATAGTGAGATCTCGTCTCCCCAAAATAAAAAATAATTAGTCATGCATGGTGGCATGCACGTGTAGTCCCAGCTACTCAGGAAGCTGAGGTGGGAGGATCGCCTGAGCCCAGAAGGTCAAGGCTCTGGCAAGTCATGATTGTGCCTTTGCACTCTAGCGTGGGTGACAAGAGTGAGACCCTGACTCAAAAAAGTAAAAACAATAACAGTACTAAAAGTCCATTTTACCTATGAATGCAAATTACTCGTGAAGGCTACTGTCAGATCTTGACAGTCGATTTTGAAAGGGTCAGAGACCAAAGAAACAATTCACCAAAACAAAATTCATGCTTATAAGGATAAAGCTGGCACGAAGATCCTCGTTTTATGGAAATCAAATTTAAGTGATTTCGTCAGGCCCTTGAGTAGAAAATAAAGACATCCTCATTTTATCAGTCACAGCCACACACTAAACAAAACTGATGCACACGGGCTGGGCTCTGTAGATTCAGGCAGAGAGTCAAACGGGACCATTTCAAGACACTTAAGGAAAACAAAGCCTCTTCATTTCAAGCAATAAGGGCTTAGATTCTTTGAAGAAACACAGGACACTTGGCTTCTTCCACTCCCTCAATGCCGACCAAGATGACTGCCAATTTCTTCACCAAGACCAAGCCCTCTTGGCGCCCCTCATTTGTGAACTATGCAGGGCCTCTGCTGTTCTATGCTTTGCTACTAAGCCCCAAACCTCATTGGGTTGAGGCATCCAGTTCTCCTTTCTATCCCTAATTAATATCCAGTCCCATTCCACACAGCAGCTGTTTTAAATATTATTAATTTGCTTCAAGCTTAAAACTTTCTCTAACTCAGTGACTACTTGGAAAAGGTAAAGGTGATGCCATTTCATCACGCTTGTGTCAAGTCGTTTTTGGGACTTTTTTGTTTGTTTTTACTTCTTCCTTTTCTCCAGGCTGGCAAAGAAGAATGTGTATTTCTTCCAAAGGCTAGCCCTTAGGAGACCTGGTGTCACTAATAATCCGTAGTCTTAGAAATCTCCACTCTCCTTCACCAGTGGCCTCCTGGTCTCTCCCTAAAACAAGCTCAAAATGCTTCAAATGCAGGGAACCCTCCTTAGAAAGCGACTCCCTCTCAAGTAATAATCCTCTTTCACCTTCAGCATCGAACTTCTCTACCTGATATTCCTTATTGTGCCTCAACTTTTTGCAAATCAGTTTCTGCTCCTAGAACTCTTATTTTAATCCTCCCAACCCCTGATAAGTATTATTATCAATCCCTTTTGCAAAGGGGGCAATGAGAGCTCAGAACAGCAGTCATTTACTGAATAAACAGGCTGCCATTCCCCCAAACACACCCTACCCCTAGGCCAAAACACAAACACACAATTTCTTTCCTTGGCCAGGAATATTCCATCCCAACATCTAAGTACCAGTTGCTTCATGGTTCAGCTCAGATCCCCTGGCCTCCAAGAAGTCTTCCCCAAGAGCCTTCCAGTGAGTATAAGCCAGTCCTTCCCCCAACATCCTTCTCTCCATGTGCCACCATGGACAGCAAGTGGTTGGTTCTAACAATCAGGTCCTAACCATCACTTACCATACCGCCAAGACAGTGGTGTTCCAGTTTTTCTCTTTCCCCAGACCATGAAGCCCTCAGAGATGAAGTTTAGAGAGTAGGTCACATTCATCTCTGTAAACTTCCTATCTCTACCAACAGCTAGCTCTTCCCAGATTTAACCAAATAGTGAAGAGCCTGTAAGCTTTGACACTGCACTAAGAAACTGACAACATGCTGGCCCAGCTCAGTGGCTCAGTCTGTAATCCCAGCACTTTGGGAGGCCGAGGCAGATAGACTGCCTGAGCTCGTGGGTTCGAGACCACCCAGGGCAACTTGGTGAGACCTCATCTCTACAATAAATTAAAAATTAGCTGGGCGTGGTAGCGCGTGCCTGTAGTTCCAGCTACTTGGAAGCCTGAGGCTTTAGGATCATGGGAGCCCAGCAGGCAAGGTTGTGGTGGCCGGGAACGTGCCACTGTACTCCAGTCTGGGCGACAAAGTGAGACTTCAACTCAAAAAAAGAAAAGAAGCCGGGCTCAGGGGCTCAGCCTGTAATCCCGCACCTTGGGAGGCTGAGGTGAGTTGATTGCCTGAGCCTGAGGGTTCGAGACCCGCCTGGAAAACTTGGTGAGACCTCATCTCTACAATAAATCAAAAAAATTAGCCAGGCGTGGTAGCGCCTGCCTGTAGCTCCAGCTACTTGGAAGGATCACCGGACCCCAGCAGGTCGAGGCTGCGGTGGCCGGGAACGGCCACTGCACTCCTGTCTGGGCAACAGAGTAAGAATCCAACTCAAAAATTAAAATTTAAAAAAGAAAAGAAAAGAAAAGAAACTGACAGCATGTTAAAATCTTTTCAACATGATTTTAGGAAGACACATAAAACTACCACTACTCCCAATTTCTTTTTTTTTTTAGATGGGAAAATATAGTTTATTTAGAAAGTAAGTTAGAGAGAAGAAAGAGGAGATTCACCTTCCCTCGTAGGGGAGGGGGCCAAAGCCTGGAAGCATGTGGCCATAGCTCAAAGAGCCACGTGTACGCACCAAAGTTTAACAAAGCACTGGCCTACTCTCAATTTCTAAATGTAAAAGAGATCTATCTCTTAAAAAAAAGTTTACAGCATACTTAGAGGCCATCAGAAAAAGGCCCAGTGCCACATTTGTTCTAATTCACTAACTTATTGCTTCTCTTTTTGATGGATCTGTCTAAGGATGATTTTTGCCCTGATTCCACTGGGAAACCAAACTGAAATGGAATCCAAGACGGCTGAGGCTGCAGCCGCATTCACTTAGGCCTTCTCCTAAATAAAGGGCCAAATCCTATCATCATCCCTTTCTGGATCCCAAAAAACAAGGGCATATGAAAGTAACATTTTATAAAGAAAGGATTCTCTCCAGTGCCTGGGGGCAAGAGGAGAGAACTGTTCTCATTTGCTGCCCCAGAGCCCTCAAGCAGCTGAAAGATGACAAGAAAAAGAAGCTGCAGCCCAGGAAGAGTGTTAGCCATACACAGTACTCACTCGCTCACAAATAAGCAACTTGACACCTTTAAAATACTGTAATGCTTATGACCAGAAAAATAAACTAATATTCACTCATTCTGTCTAGATCAGGCAAAAGCTTTAGAAAAAAATCCACTCTCCCCAAATGAATCACAACATTAAAAGCGATGTTCATTTCAACAAAGCTGAATCACTGCTCTAGTGTCATTTATTAAGAAAAGGCCTGGAGGCTGGGCTCGGTGGCTCAGCCTGTCATCTAGTACCTTGGGATGCCAAGGTGAGTGGACTGCCTGAGCCCGTGGGTCAAGACCAGTCCGGGCAATTTGGCAAGACTTGGTCTCTACCATAAATAAAAAAAAAAAAAAAATTAGCTGGGCATGGTAGCACGTGTCTGTAATCCCAGCTACTTGGAAGGCTGAGGCAGAAGGATCACCTGAGCCCAGCAGGTCGAGGCTGCGGTGGCCATGAGTGTGCCACTGCCTTCTACCCTGGACGACAGAGTGAGATTCCAATTTTAAAAAAAAAGAAAGAAAGAAAGAAACGAAAAGAAAAAGAAAAGTCCTGGAGTCCAGTAATCACACTGGTACTGCCATCACCATGATCCCCAAACACAGAAGATGACAAACATGTTTGACCCAGGGCAGATTTAGAATGTTTCCAAACTTAAAGTTTTCTCATATATTCACCCCCTCAAAATAGGTACAATTTTAAGTGAAACAAACAAACAAAAATCAATTAACAGGAAATATGATAAACAGAAGAACATGATAAACAATAGGACAAGGATTTAATCTACAGTAAAAGTTTTTACAAAGGGGAAGAAAAAGACAGAGAGGAACAGGGATCTATAAATTAAAAGAGATTAGCAAAGCAATCACAAAGTGTACACCTTCTTTGAACTCGAAACCATCAAACTTAAAAAACAATTAAAACAATGGGGAGAAATGTTTCAATATGTTAGTAACATTAAAGCTATATATTTAAAAAGAAAAAGAATTCCTTTCTTTAGAACATACTGAAATATTCACAGGTGAAATGCTACAAAAATTGGGATTAGTTTCAAAACAATTCTAGAGTCTGAATTTTAAGAGTAGGAAATAGAGAAAACAATACTGGATACAAACTGAGTCAAGGCCAAAGAAGGGCCACTCTATTATTCTACTTTTGTATATGTTAAAAATGGTCTACATTTCAACAAAAATTTCTCATTATAAACTGAACTTGAAGATATCCTATGAGGAAAAAATGTGCTCTGTAGAAAAAAGTTGGCAAAAACAAAATATTATTCAAAGCTACAGTCATCCCCTAGTATCTGTGAAAAATTGGTTCCAGGACCACTCCAAAATCAGATACCAAAATCCATGGATGCTCAAGTCCCTGATATAAAACTGGGTAGTAATTGCATACAACCTACACACATCCTCCCGTATAGTTTAAGTCATCTCCAGACTATCTATAATACCTAATACAATGTAAATAGTCATTCTACTACATTGTTATTTGTATTATTTTTATTGTCACATTGTTGCTTTTTTTAATTGTTTTGATCCATGGTAGGTGGCATCCACCCAGGCAGAACCCATAAATACAAAGGGCCTACCATACTTGACTCTGTGTAATGGAATCATGGGACTACTTGTCTACATTTTAAAAAATTCTGTAGAAAGCATATGTAACATATAGCAGAAATCATTTTTTGAGATCTGAACAGCTAACGAATTTCAATGTCTCTACTTCTTAAAACAATGCAAATAAAACTGATGCGCATCTAAGAATCCAATTTGAGAAGTAACAAAATATTTAAATATATGAAAACTAAACAGTAAGGTCAAAAAATAAGCATCCGTGAAATTTAGCAATATTTATATAAATTAATACAGATATACTATAACCTTAGTGGTATTTTATAAACATATCTCTCACATCTCTAAATTCAAGTGTTCTCTAGAAGGAACTACACATTCCAGAAATTTCTTTCACTAGGACTGAACTATAGCAAAAAATGAACATGAATTAGGGATGGAAAATCTTTATTTCAACTGTTTAATCAAAATATAATAGCTTTATTATAATTATTTTATAATTGCATATGTTGCTCTTACAACTTTATGCAGTATATGTAAAAACTGCAAAGATTAAAAACAATATTTCTCAATATATTTGCATTCAATTATAAATGGTTAAATTAGCTACTAAGCATGAAAATACAAAAAGATTAAAATACATGTGAGCATACACTTTGAATGTGGGGTACAGACTGCACATTCATGGTGGAATTAAAGGACATTATTTAAAATATAGGCCATATCAACCAATTCCTGGTCAAAACCTCAAGTGCTCATGCCATAAGAGATAAGATAGACAAGTGGGACCTCATCAAACTGACAAGCTTCTGCAAAGCCAAATAAACCATTGAGAGAGAGGGGATACAGCCAACAGACTGGGAAAAAATGTTTGCCAACTGTATATCTGACAAAGGCCTAACAACTAGGCTCTACAGGGAATTCAAACGTGCAGAAAAGGGAAAAAAAAAAAAAAAAAGCCCCATTACAAAGTGGGCAAAAGGTATGACTAGACACTTCTCAAAAGAAGACATATGAGCAGCCAACAGAAATATGAAAAACTGCTCAGTCTCAATAATCATCAAAGAAATGCAAATTAAAACCACACTGAGATACCCCCTAACTCCAATCAGAATGGCCGTCATCAATAACTTAAAAAACAACAGATGCTGGAGAGGATGTGGGGAAAAGGGAATACTTCTACCCTGCTGGTAGGAGTGTAAGCTAGTACCTCTGTGAAAAACAGAGGTTGGTGATTCCTAAAAGATCTAAAAATCAAACTCCCATACAACCCCGCAATCCTCCTACTGGGAATATATCTGGAGAAACTCAAATCACTTTATGAAAAAGATATCTGCACACACATGTTTACTGCAGCATTATTCACAATAGCAGAAACATGGAACCAATTGTGCTGCACATCAAAAGAGGACTAAATTTTAAAAATTGTGGTACATATACATAACAGAATATCACACAGCCATAAAGAATGACAAAATTATGAATTTCACAGCAACTTGGATGAACTTAGAGGCTATAATACTCAGTACTCTATCACAGAAACAAAGAACTGAGTATCACATGTTCTCACTCATGAGCAGACCTTGAACAACTATCATAATACTATAAGTAAGGAATTGGCAGTAGTAGGAAACTACCAGGGGAGCGGGGGGCACACCTTCTCAACAAAGGTACCTGCATAATGAACATTTGTATACCCAACCCTGAATTTACCCCACATATTCAAAATTTAATAAGAAAAACAAAATAAAATAAAATAAAATATATGCCATATGGAACAGGTAAAAAGTTAGAAATCTGAAAAAGAAAAAGTGGGGCAGAGCACAGTAATTTTTTTGTTACAAGCTTTGTGTTATTACTGTTATTAAACCATGTACCTGGCCTACTTGGATAAACATTCAATTTTAAAAGCACACCAATGGAAAGTGTCTCACCAATAGTCATAGCTCTCATCCCAGTTGTCAAAATGTACCAGGAAACGGTTGTCCACCATATCTGTTACTGTAGCAACACAGATGAATGCAGGATTCTTTTTGTCTACAGCCTCAAGCTTCATACCAACCCGAAAGCCTGATGGGATCACTGTCTATGGAAACATACAGATTTAATTAGCGATAAGCTCACACTTAATGACAGCAAGACCTGCACACTCCCTGCACCTCTTGCTTGAAAGCCAGGCCCATCACTGCGTTCATGTCATTTAAAAAATCATGTGTCAGTTTCACAGCAGGGTTGCTTTCCAGCATGGGGTAATTTAAAAAATGCCTGTTGCTATACCCAATTAGCTATCTAGGCCTCAAAACTAAAATATCCACAAACTCAGAGTTCAAAATAATTAAGTTTAACATGTGTTTTGGTATCTTACTTAGAAAACTGTACTAATTAGACAAGCTGTATTCACCATATAGCTCACGTTTTGTCCTTCTCTTTCGTGATTATTTCAAACAAAATACGTACTTAATCAAGTTAAAAATGTGCATGAGTCAAGTACAAATTCACTCCGACTTCTAAAAAGTTCTTTCAAAAGAATCCTCTACCGAAAGCAGGTCATCTTCATGTACGAAAGTCTGCGCATTATTACAACTTCTACTTAACATTACAGATACTTTTCATTCTCAGCAGCAACAAAAGGAACTGGCTGTCAATGTATAAAGCCATTCAAAATGGTTGGTAATTTAGAAATCCACAGATTATCAGCCATCTGGGACAAAGACCAAAAGCAATCAAAGTTCAATAAGAGTTCATGCTTGAGGTACAGGAATATGTAACAACTTTTACAATCTTTCGTGAGGACAAATATCCCTATCTTTAATATAAATCTCTCTCTCTCTCTCTCTTTATCTTAAACTAGTATACCTGGATATCAATTTTGCATTTGAGTACTCTGATATCAGATGCATACATTTTTATAATTATTATATTTTCTTGTTGTGCTGACACTTTTATCATTGTATACTGACCTTTGTCTCTAAAGAAAGTTTTCGACTTAAGATAAAATTTGTCTAATAAAAAAAATTCTTCTGCCGGGCTCGGTGGCTCAGCCTGTAATCCCGCGCTTTGGGAGGCTGAGGTGAGTGGACTGCCTGAGCCCGTGGGTTCGAGACCCGCCTGGGCAGCAAGACCTCATCTCTACAATAAATCAAAAAATCATCCAGGCGTGGTAGCGCATGTCTGTAATTCCGGCTACTCGGAAGGCTGAGGCGGAAGGATCACCGGAGCCCGCCCAGCAGGTCGAGGCTGCAGTGGCCGGGAGCAGCCACTGCACTCCAGTCTGGGCGACAGAGTGAGACTCCAACTCAAAAAAAAAAAAATTCTTCTGTTCAGACTCAAGTATACAGACATTCTAATTACTTTAAGCAAAATAGGTATTACCTCTCATTTTACTATCATTATACAACAATCACTGCAAAAAATGTAGACAGCCATATATCTGAAATTGTTAGAACAAGCCATGTCTGAATTGAAGGAACAGGCACTAATTCTACACAGAAATCAAGTTCTGAAATGTATCAGAGTTCCACCTAAATATCTGAGTAATCTGAAGTAGAGAAATTTAGAAATATAAAAATTAGTTGCCTCTTAGATACCAAATACACAGCCTAAGATTAAGTTGTATGCTAGCAACACAGAGAATTTAAAGGAATAGTTCAAAGCAGTAAATCAAATCCCTACCCTAGCTGCAGTCCTCATCAGAGAACCAGACAGGGATTAGGAAACTTGGGACAGAAACAGCAGGCTGCTGAGTTTTCTAACTAACCTTCCTCCTCAGGGTAGGTTTTGACAGAGAATACCTGACAAGACAGTATTAACATCTCAGCGATTAAGCTAGCCTCTCAATTAAGGCATTTTAAAAGTAATAACCTGGTTCATTATCTCTATTAGTTACACACACATACACACACACACACACACACACACACACACTCTCACACTTCTTCAGTTCTCTAACTCCACCTAATTTTTGTTTGATTTAATCAGAGAACATTTCGGCCATTAGATTGATGCTCTCAGACCAACTAGTTAATATTGTTTTCCCAACTGAAGGGTTTCTGAAGTGGGTGAGAAGGTTTTTTCTCATTCCTGACATTTATTTCCCTTTGGAAGGAACTGCTGTTAATGAAACACTTCTGCCTCTCTCCATCCTCCCACTCACTGCTACCTGTCCGATGACTTTGGGAAGGAGGAACTAGTATCACTAGAGGAAGTTGGGCTGCAGGGTGTAGAGTTTCTACTCTGTTCCTCGAGAGTCCAGTGTTCCCTGGGCTTAGGAGGTGAGGCAGGAAGAGGTAGTAAATCTCTTTATTTCTAGGGCTTGTAATCAAAAGGCATATAGTCCACAGATACAGGTCACGCCTGCTCTCCAACCTTGCTCTTGTGAGGTATACAGATGATATTTTGGGTCTCTACCTGCTTGCCCTCTTTCTTTCCAATTAGATCAGAATTTGGGGGAAAGAAAAATGTCATGTATCTGGTCCATCAACAGAGGGGCATGTGCTATGGAGTGGGTACAGGTCAAGAAGTAGAAAATACACACGTCCAGACTTTGCTTCTGTAAATAGAAGCCATAAGCTGAAGGGGAGGCAACTGACAGTTTCAAACGATGTCCTGCATGGAAACCAAAACAGGGCTACATTCATCTGGCTACGTGAATCCCATGGAAACAGCATCCTACGTAAGTGATGGTAACAACAAAACATCTCAGCCAGTTTAATTTTTTATGCATTTTAATTGTAAACTACACCTGGATTTTGTACTATATTGTCTACTACCATTCAATAAAAGGGAAACCATAATAAGGCTATAAAATAGATCTTTATTCATGAAGATTTTAAGCTAATTTTGAAGCTTAATTAAGATAAGAGTACTCTATCCAGGCAATAAAACGTATGATAGGTCCTTGTTATCCCTTATAATGTATCCTAGGAGACACTCAAAAATCATTTCCCTTTGAAAGGAAAAGTGGATGTACTTACTATATTCTGATTCTCAAATAATGACTTGGGAGCTGCTTGAGCTTTACACGTCTTCAGATAAGTCTGCCAATTAAATTCTTCTTCTTTATACCCTAGAGTAAGCACACGTGAACAGACTTAGCAGGACATCACAACATTTACACTTAGCGTCCTAGTCCCACTTCACCAGTAACTCCAACATGCCAAAGTCAAGCAGTCAAATGGTTTTTTTTAAACAAACATAAATCACAATTCAAAACTACAGATGTTTAGACGTAGGCTATGTCTATCTTCAATAAATTGTATCATTTGTTCAATTCTGAATGAATGGTACTAGATAAAAGGGAGGCCAGGTGCGGTGGCTCAAGCCTATAATTCCAGCACTTTGGGAGGCTGAAGCGAGAGGACTGCCTAAGTCCGCGGGTCCAAGACCAGCCTGGGCAACATGGTGAGACCTTGTCTCTACAATAAATCAAAAAAATTAGCTGGGCGTGGTAGCGTGTGCTGGTAGTTATGACTACTTGGAAGGCTGAGGCGGGAGGATCGCCTGAGCCCAGCAGGTCAAGGCTGCGGTGGCCATGAGCATGTCGCTGCACTCTCGCCTGGGTGACAGAGTGAGACTCTGACTCAAAAAAAAAACAAAAAGAAAAAGAGTAAGGAAGCAGCCGGGCTTGGTGGCTCAGGCTGTAATCCCAGCACTTTGGGAGGCTGAGGTGAGTGGAATGCCTGAGCCTGCGGGTTTGAAACCCGCCTGGGCAACTTGGCGAGACCTCATCTCTACAATAAATTAAAAATCAGCCGGGCGTGGTAGCATGTGCCTGTAGTTCCAGCTACCTAGAAGGCTGAGACGGAAGGATCGCCGGAGCCCAGCAGGTCAAGGCTGCCATGGCCGGGAGCGACCGCTGGGTGACAGAGTGAGACTCCAACTCAAAAAAAAAAAGAGTAAAGAAGCAAGTACATCTTACACCCATAGGCCCTTTTTATGACGAGGCTGTTTCTATCAGTATTTAGGTAGAATTCCTCAGCAGTACAGACCAGTGAACTGGAGGAGTCAAGTTCTTTATTTTCCCCTCACGTACTCTAGTTTGGGAAACTAACTTAGAGTAACAAATGGAAAGCTGGAAAAAAAAATAGAAAACTGGTAAAAATCTTTTGGCCCATTACCACAAGAAGGACAACAATTCAAGGTCTGAAGCAAGGATGTTGGCCAATGCCAATAAGGAACATGTCCTTGCTGTAATTTTCACAATTTCATTAAAGTCAGCATTTCCTTTAAAAAAACAGAATTAATCATTTTATTTTATCTGCTAATATGCTCGCTCTTTTATTTTCATTAGAGTCCAGAAGGCAGCATGAAAAGAACAGCTGATAATTTGCCAAATATAAGAGGGCAATTCATAAAAAAGATTTCCTTTTTCACCCTCAGGCTTTCTGTGTGATTTTGTTTAATCCTTCAGTTATCTGAAAATACCATTCAGCCATTAATTTTTCACCTAAAACCAAGGGATGGCTAGTCCATTAAAAAAAACAACAGCCTGAGATATGCCAAAAATATCAAATCAGTAATCTGTATTTTTGACATCAAGTAAACAGTAATAAATGTAATGGTCGAAAAAGGAAGGAGATAAAATCTTATTAAACACATTTGGGGATACACATTGGGAATACACATTGGGGATACACTGAAAAAGATGGCATCTGCTACTATTGAACCTGTATGTAAACATGAAATTGGCACACTCGCTAGCAGGTTGTGGTATAAAGAACTCAATCATAAGAAAAGTAACTGCTGTGAGTTCAATTCCCATTTGAGCTAATTTTGAGTGTCATATTCCTCCTTCCAATGTTCTAAATATTAAGAACTGCAAGTTCATGTATAAATTCTCAGAATTTTCCATATACCAAAATGTTCATAAATGTAGCTGTGTCAATTAGTTAAAACTAACTTTCCAAATCAATTTTTTCAAGGATATAAATATTTAATAATACAAATCTGTAGGTAAAAGTCATCTGTAGTCACAGTTAAGTATCAAGCAAATTTATTTATTTATTTATTATTTTTTGAGTTTGGAGTCTCACTCTGTCGCCCACCTCAGCCTACCAAGTAGCTGGAACTACAGGTGCATACTACTGCGCCCGGCTAATTTTTATTTTTAATTTATTGTAGAGATGAGGTCTCGTCATGTTGCTCAGGCTGGTCTCGAACCCCTAAGCTCAGGTAATCCTCTCGCCTCAGTCTCCCAAAGTGCTGGGATTACAGGCTTGAGCCACCGTATCCAGCTGCAAATTTACTTTATATGAAAATAAGTACATGGGCATAATTTATTCTCTTAAGTTGGATTCTTCTCTTATTTCTTTCACTTTAATAAATATATTTTTCATCAGGAACAACAGTCTTAATTCTTTAAAATTCCAGACTAGCATGTAGGAAAATGATTTTCTACTGAATTTACAAGACTAAATAAATCATGCCGATACCTTTTGGAGGGTGGAGTTTATGGCCAGTTTTCTCACACCACCCAACTGGGTGAATGTCCAGAGCGTCTGCATTTACCCAGAAGTCGTAGCAATCAGAATAGCCATCAAAGTGAAGCTTTATCCGGTATCCACAAACCTGAAACAGGTAAAGCAGGTTGAGTAATTTAAAAATACACATACGTGTGTGTATATTCAAAAATAAGCATGGACATCAGGTACAATATCACCTATGTTAACGAAACCAGCCACATTAACAGCCACGAAAACACCCCAGCATATGACAGAAGCGAAAGCCAAAGGCCACCATATTGGAAAGAACAGAGCTGCAGTGTTCTGGCAGTATCCCCAGCACACGGGTACAGGTGCCTCCACCCCACGCCAAGAAGGAGCTCCCAGGCTGCCTCTCTCCCCAGTCTCACGCTCAGCTGCCTCTGGCCGAGGCCTCAGAGCTCAGCACTTGAGCCACATGTATCCTCTGTCCCCTCAGGGGCATTCTGCCTAGAGTTTCTGCCCCTTGACTCACTCCATGTGTTCTCCCCACATCTCTCCTCCAGCTCACGCCCTCTGGAAGGCTGTGCTCTGGTAAACAACCTCATCTTCATGAGAACAACCACAGCGTCTGCTCCTGTTGCTCCTTCCCTGCTTCATGTGCCCACCCTCCCGGTCTCTGCCGCAGGCCCCACTATCCTGGCTCCCTTCTCTGTCTTTCGTCATTCCTTCTCAGAATTCTTCCCTAGCTCCTTCCGGAGTCCACCACTTAGAGGCTGGTATTCTTCAGCGCTGGCAACTCACGCCGAGTCTTCTCCCTGAGCAACTTGATCCACTTCAAAGAAATAAACACCAACGATCAGGCCAGGCATGGTGGCCCACGCCTGTCATGCCAGCACTGTGGGAGGCCAAGGTGTGAGGACTGCTTGAGCCCAGGAGTTTGAGACCAGCCTAGGCAACACAGGGAGACCTTGTCTCTACAAAAAATAAAAAAAAATTAGCCCAGCATGGTGGTACAGGCCTATAGTCCCAGCTACTCAGAAGGCTGAGACAGAAGGATCACCGGAGCCCAGGAGGTTGAGGATGCAATGAGCTATGATTGCATCACTACACTCCTGCCTGGGCCACAGAGCGAGACTCTGACTGAAAATAAACAAACAAACAACAACTATTTAGTAAGAAACTGACTTTGCTTTCTTTCCAACTCAAAAGGGTCTAACAACTGCAGAGATCAAGAGGCAGAAAACATACCCTATCTGAGCAACTCAGAGAGTGACAGGATTCCCACACTCTATATACAATCTGCAGAAATATTCCACATCAGTTTTCTGATGTGAGTAAAAGAATCTAACCATTTCCTTTCACTACATATTACACTATGACAAGCTGCAAGTTACTTTAGCATTCTAGGCCTCTGTTTTCTCATCTGAAAAATGGGGGAAATGGACTCTACCTCAAAAGACTGTCTTGAGAACTAACAGGAGTTGGTAACTGGAAACTGTTCCACTAGCACCTGGTATCTAACTAACCGCATGCTATCATTTCCTGTGATGTCACCACCCAGCCATCAGGATACTAAGTTCTGTAGGAGTTCAGCTTCTTAAAATTCACTAAGTTGACGGGGAACAGTGGGACAAGCCTGTCATTCCAGCACTTTGGGAGGCTGAGGTGAGAGAACTGCCTGAGCCCAGGACTTCGAGACCAGCCTGGGCAACGTGGTGAGACCTCGTCTCTATAATAAATCAAAAAATAAGTCGGGCATGGTGGCATGCGGCTATAATTCCAGATCCTTGGAAGGCTGAAGCGGAAGGATCGCCTGAGCCCAGCAGGTCAAGGCTGCAGTGGCCATGAGTGTGCCCCTGCACTCCAGCCTGGGCAACAGAGTAAGACTCTAACTCAAAAAAAAAAAAAAAAATCACTAAGTCACTGAAAGAATACTATGATACCAAGAACTAGTACACAAGATCATCTGATTCTTTCGAGGAGAATTTTTATGACATATATACTCTTGACTCAAGAAAGAAAGTAAGGACGAGGCTAGCACAGGAGGAAAACAAATTTTAAAGGAAGTGTTCTCACAGTATACTAAACTGAGACATATATAATTGACTTGGTTTTTGATCCTGAAAAATTTCACCGAGTAACCTCAGCACGCTAAAAAACACAAACATCTGTTGGTCTGTCCCCTTTATGCTAAGGAGCACAGCATGGCAAAGGCTATGGAGTCAGGCCTGGGTTCAAATCCTGGTTCTACCATTTTGAAGCTATGTGGCCTTGCATGTGCCACTCAACTCTCTGAGCCACCAGTCCCTACTCTGCAGGACAGGGATGGAGAAGACAAGAACTGCACAGGATTCTTGTAAGGATTCGAAGTGATAATGCACACAAAACACTGAGCACTGTGCCTGGCAGGACGTAAGCATTCAACCAATGACAGCTTTTCCTCAGCATTAGAACTTCATAATCACCTTTTAAAAATAAAGATGAGGTGACACTTACCTCGGCCACAGTGAGGACGCAGTACACGGACTGATGCTCGGGGTCCACGCCTTCTAGCTTCATACCAACTTTGAATCCATTTTTGTTATATGGAAAGGACTGACACTGAAATGCAAAATGACAGAAGCTTTAGAATCTTACCCTGGAGGTCTAGTTAAACATGAGAGTAGTTACCATTCTCAAAATACAGACCATGTAACCAAATACATAAACAACTCCTAAAAATCCAGAAGAAAAGGATCAATAAATAATTCAGTGGCTAAGTGAACAAAGGCTGTAAACAGGTAACTGGGAATGAACTTTAATTTTTTCTTTTTTTTTTTTTGGAGTCGGAGTCTCACTCTGTTGCCCAGGCTAGAGTGCTGTGGCACACTCACTGAGGCAATCCTTCCACCTCAGCCTTCCAAGTAGCTGGAACTACAGGTGCGCGCTACCACACCCGGCTCATTTTTTTGACTTACTGTAGAGACAAGGTCTCACCAAGTTGCCCAAGCTGGTCTTGAACCCCTGAGCTCAGGCAATCCTCTCGCCTCAGCATCCCAAAGTGCTGGGATTGTAGGTTTGAGCCACCACGCCTGGCAGGAACTTTAATGTTTAACAGTCTTTGTCTTTCACATATTTGTAAAGATGCTCAACCTCACACATAAGAGTCACACAACATAAGATTACACGAAGATATATTTCACCGATCGGGTCGGAAGAGATCAAAAAGTGTGAAAACACTGTGCCGGTAAGGCTGTAGGAAAACAGAAGTAGGCATACATCTCCAGAAGGAAAGAAAACTGGTACAACCACTAACAATGCCCTAATATCTATAAAAACAAACACTCTCCTCGACTCAGCAACTGTAATTTTAGGAAATTTTCCAACATGCGTGCAAACTGACAGGTGAAAAGTAATTCACTTAAGCAAACAGCGAAAGATTTGACTATAAACGCATGTCAATCAACAAAGAGTGACTTTAATTGCTATGGAACAGACATAAGATGGCATACTACACATTGGTATAAAAGAAAGGTGAAAGGATTCATGAATTACGATCGAATCATCTCCACATTGTCAAGTTAACTGAAAAAGCAATGTCCAAAAGCAAAAGCAAAAAGTATGTGACATACATTGTCTTGGTTTAAGACAGGGAGAGGAGGATCTGTGTGTGTGTGTGTGTATGCTTGTGTGT